AAATAAACAAAATTAAAATAATAAAAAAATAATAAGTGATAAAAATTTTCAAAAAGAGGATTGTATATCTACCTTGACAAATTCGGAATTATAAAAATATAAATTTATAAATGATGTGAAATTTTTAATTTAGGAAAAAAGTTATGCATTTAAATAATCAAGTTTGAATTAAATTTTGGATGTTGATATTGAATATATTTCCAATAATGAGTGTGTATGCGTGTGAATAATGTGAATAATATATAATATTTATATATATCTTTTTGAATTTTTTAACAATACGATGTATGAATTTATTATTACCTCCTTTATGATACATATGTTACACAGTATCATGAACTTATTGTAGATTCTTGGAGTCCTTGAAAATCGTGCGGAGAAAGCACTGTATTGCATTCAAACGAAGCACAGAGGCTGGCGTTCATAAACCAACGCAATTGGATATGGCACTCGCTCAGTTCGGATTCATCGGATATACGATGATAAGCGGAGAATATCTAGGAGTGAAAACTACTCCCGAAGAAATGGAAGGTGTGGTGCATCTCTGGAGAGTCATCGGGAGCATGCTCGGGATGGACGACAAGTTGGTATCCCTACTTGTCTTTTATTGCGTACAGTAAAATAATGAAAATGTAAGCAGAAGCGGATAATTGTAAAAAATTTCTTCTTTTTTGAACGTTCCGCAAAATATTATAAATAATAATAACATTTATAAATTATATATATAAAGAAAAATATTTTTACGGATATTATAATACAAACATAAATATTTAATATTTTCCGGAATTTCTTATCTCTTTCTGTATAGTAAAATATTTCTGTCGTATATATTTATGTAATGTTTTTACAAATATCTTTGTTCTTCTAGATTCAACCTCTGCACGGGGACAGTTGAAGAAACTCGTGCTCTTTGTCAAAGAATATTGGAAGATGTGTTCGTGCCCTCTCTGGCAAAAAAGAATGATCATTTCGATGAAATGGGCAACGCGATGCTACAGAGTCTCTGGCCCATCAACTTTAATATTGAACCAGTAGCATTCATGGCGTTCACATTTTATCTGGCCTCTTCAACTGCGCGCAACAATAATCATTCTATCGAAATAGGTAACTTTTCAAGTTCGAATAAATGTATAAAATTTTTAAATTTCGAAGAAGGATGTGACAAAATTAAAAGAAAGAAATATATAACAAAAACTCACTAAAGTATATGTGTGTGTAACAAACTTTTAATCCCCCTTCTGGGAAGGGATTTTTCGTGATTGAAAAATAAATAATTCTGATTTTGATTTCTGTGAGTGTAAGAAATGATAAATCTAATATATGTATATGATGGATACAATGCATCATTTATACAGTAAAGATAACATAAAATATATTTTCAGATACTTCGACTATGCCGTTTTACAGCTGGTACTTGTTCAATCTACAACACTTCGTGCTGAAATACTTAATGCGACCTAGTGCTTGGTGGTCCTCATTTTTCCGCCCAATTTTTAATGTTTTAATGCGTTTATCGATTTTCTTGATGGAAAAATATCCCTTCCTTGCTTATTGGACCTTCGGAAAGAAATATGCTAATGTCAATATTTTTCATTATCACTTCGACTGAATGTTTAATCGAAATAACAAGAGGACTAACGGCTTTTTATCAAATCATATCAAAATTATGAAATTCTGTTAATTACCTAAGAGTTAATTAAGTGAGTAAACTGGCAAATAAGAGCCAAGACGCGGGTATTGGTGCGTAAACTTATTATTATTAAAATATAACAATAATAAGTTTGTGCACCAATATCCGTGCCTTGGCTCTTATTTGCCAGTTTACCCACTTAATTGTTAGTACTCTAAGCCTATTACTGAAATTCTATGTAAGAAAAAACCGTGA